AGGTTCTTCCTAACTCCTGCCACTAAAGTTCGGGTTATGCAACGGAGCAAAAGAATTCGTATTATTTACAGCGTTCGCATTGCACCCCACGGCGCCTGCCCTGGGCTGGCTGGCTGCCCATTGAAGTGCTCAGCAGAACATTTTACCATTTGTTTGAAATAGCAATTTTCTTAAGCTGTACTTCAGTTCTACAGATTGCTTCTCTGAACCTGTTCACAGGTGCAGTTCCTCGTGTTATTCCTGAACTTCTTTCCAACTGCCTACAGGCAAAAAAAAGAACTCTGAACTGCTCTGGGCTCCCAGCTCATGAGGAACCAAAGGGACATCCAGTCCCTCGGGATGTTTGCCCAGTTAGTGCTGCTGTAGGAAGAAAATTCTGATCTAAGAATTAAAGACACACTAATAACCCAAAACCTAATGCAGGAGAAAAGGTAGCCAAACAGTTTTCAGGCACCACACCTCCCTCTGTGTCTCCCCAAAAAACCTTCCCCCAGCCATCTTTGTAAATTTTCACTGACTTTCTTTAAAACATTTCTCTCTTGTAACTGTAGGGGAAGGTCCCTTGTAGAGGGAAGCCCAGCCACACACAAAGCCACCAAGCTCAAAGTCAGCCAGAGCGCTTGATTTTGACCAGCTCCTTTACTTCTAACAGTCTTTAGGTACCGGTTCCAGCAGTCGCTTCCAGGGAGGTGCAGCTCAGCAGTGTCTCCTCTTCCCAAAGCATGGATTTCCGTGCATGTTTTCCCCGCGGGGTGTGACTCCACGGTGCACTGTCACACTCCGCAGAAGCCCCCGCGCCAGCTCTGCGCAGGGGCACCCGGCCACGGGCAAGCAGCGGGTGACGCCAGCCCGCGCAGAGCAGCGCTGAAGGCACGGAGTTTATTCCAGATTTCTGAGCCATCAGCCCACCATGCTGCATCAGGCCTTGGGGGCACAGCTTACGGGCAGAACTGGTGATCTAAATTGAACCAGGAAGAGTTCAGGAGAGCCTTGTTTCACACGAATTTCAGGTCAGTTTAACAACAAACACCTTGAGGTTAACGTGACAAAGCAACTCTTCCATGCCCTCATCAAAAGGGACTCAGTTGGGGCACTGAAAACCGAAAGGGCTTGGAGTGGAAACCTCAGTGAAGAGCTGTCCACAACCCCCAAAACATTCCAATTTGCTCTTTCAGCCTTCTTTTCCAAAGAAAGTACCGACATTCCTATCTTACTTGGTTCTGCAGAAACCAAGCAGCAAGCACCGGAGGACAGGACTGCAGCCCTCCTCTCCCGGAAGGCAGACAGCTTTAGTCTCCCGGGCAGCCAGGAGCTGAAAAGCCCAGGTGAAAAGTAGAGCTGCACCTGCGAAGGAGCCAGCCCCCCGTGCTGCCTCCTCCTTTAACCTCCTCAGCGTGCCTTCCCCTCCTCGACACGATGAGCGCAATGGGGTCCTGACGAACACTACAGGATGCATACAACTAAAAACCAGAGAAATTACCAAAACAAATGACCTGAGCTGCTCAGTACTCTAACAAGTTACTAGTTTCTTTCACACCATCAGGTGAACCCACCAGCAGCTACCCACTCAGCAGGCAGGACAGGAAGGCTGCCGGTACCACTAACCTGTGTCGATTTTTGTTCTTCCGTTTTTTGTGGCTGCTGTGGTGGCTCCCAGAAGAAGTAGAGGAAGCAGCTTTCTGGGGTTTCACCCCCTGCACAGACCCATCCAGCTCTTCTGCATCCTCCTGGCTGGGCTCATTCTCCTGATTGTGGAAGTCTGGGGAAGTGTCACTTTCTGTGCCGCTGCCTGGCTCCCCTAGAGCAGGACAAAGACAGACTAGCCCAAGGGTCACCGCCCCGCAGCTTGCACCCCGGCTGCCCTGGCAAAGCCCAGCAACAGCAGATGGGGCAGCAGAGACCCCCCAGCCCCACAGCACCAGGAGGTATGCAGGAGAACCCGAAAAATACTCCTGAAGGACAGCAAGCTACCGCTCAGCAACTGGAGCACACTGGAATTGCATCTGATTTGGTACCGATTACAAAAACATTTTTAAAAATCCCGAACGCAAGTGGCTCCTCCCCACGTCCCGTGCAACCGCCTGACACACAAACACAAACGCGCTGCTCCACTCTTCTAGCCTCGTTCTCCAAAGAGCACCAAATCCACTTAAAGAAGTTTTATGCACAATAAGCCCTTGCTGAGCATAAAAGTTTACTCAAGAAAGGAAGCTCAACTTTCCTTCTGCTTCTCCCAGCGCCGCTTCGCTGACTCGTGCAGCTGGAGGTGGTGCTGGGAGCACTCGGGAGCCGGCCAGGAGGAGCAGCCGCAGGGCGCTGGACGGGAGCAGGGAGCGCGGCACGGATCCAGACCACCGGAGACAGAGCTGAGGGGCGGGGAGGAGCGTAACTCTTTCCAAATTCCCAAAAAATTAAGAAGTGACTTACGCTTTTCGATGAGCTGGTCCTGAACTCCAGCTAACGCACTGACCGCCTGGAAAACCGAAAGTGGCGTTAACGGGAGCAGTAAGTCACTTGCCACTTTTCAAACGTTCAAAAACACCGAGGTCACCTCACAGAGGACGACACGTCAGGCCTTTGCTCGAAAGAGCTTACGGCCTGGCGCCGGCACGGCCCAGCGGAAGGGGGCCAGGAGCAAAATGCTACAGACACGGATGGCAGCGACGAGCGTGTGGCCCGGGTGGCTCCTGACTGCGGCTCCCCGCCATCTCCCGGGGCACGAAGGACGGGGTTTCTGACAGAGGCTGCGAGAGCGTGGGGTCGGGGGAGACGGGGGAGGTACAGGGGCTTTAATGGAAAGCGGCTCCGGCAGCAGCCTGGGCGACCCCCACGGGACCAGCTGCAGTGAGGAGCACCGAGGGATGGGGACCGGGACGGGGACCAGGATGGGGATGGGGACCGGGACAGGGACTTGGCTAGGGACCGGGATGGGGAGGGAGACGGGGACCAGGACCGGGACCAGGACGAGGACAGGGATGGGGACCGGGACAGGGACTTGGCTAGGGACAGGGATGGGGACCGGGATGGGGACCA